GTCCCACCATAGGGATCCTGTTAACAGTCTACAAGGTTTTCCCTATTGAAAAGCACCATTTTTAAGATAAAGGAGGACACTAACAAAAAAGTTATTTTATTATGGATGACAAATGTGATTTAATTCAACAACCACATATCCTTTTGCAGGTGTCACTAAAATGAAACAATACCTGTATGCTTCAAGGTAGAGAATAACACTAATTCATCCCTGACTATGATGACAAAACAACACCGTAAAAGTTAAGACTGGGGCCTCCCTGTAAGCACAGCACTGTGAAGCTATCCGCAGCCTCTGTAGCACAAGTTTGATCCCAGGCCAGGCAGGGAGCTATCCACATGGCGCAGCAGACCGCTCCTATTTCTCCCGCTGCTCCCCTCAGCAGTGTTTTTCAGTAGATCTGCTTGTTCTGCTCCCCACTCTGTCTCTGGTGAATCCTCTCACCACCCCACATCTCTGGCCTATATCCAGTTATTGTATGCATAAATAAATCTTTAAAAAAAAAGTTAAGACTGGATTGTTTTACATGATACAGGTATTGCTTTTGAATTATTTCTGCAGGAACTACTTACTGAACATATTACTTAACATGAATATTATTATACAAGCTTTAGACCCTAGTTTTAGTTAAATAATATTGCTAAAGCTACAAGATAAACTTACTCACAATGATAAAAATTTAAGGTTTCAAGTATCAAATAAGTTCTTCAAAAGTCTAAATAACCTGCTGACTCGGTAATTTTCCTAAGTGACAGGAGAGGCCCCCATCTTTGCTAAGACATGTCAGCAATCAATTGTTTAGTACCTTTTCTCTACCCCTACACTATGTGGGTTGAGAGCTTCTCCAAGTTGTAATAGTGTTTCACTATAAGATTAATTCTTTTTTTTTTTTAAATTCTTTTTTTTTTTAATAGAGGCATGTTTTATTTATTTGTTCGTTTGTTTGTTTGTTTGTTTATACATGCACTGGGTACAGTCAGAAGCACGGGAGGGTGAGAGAATTCACCAGAGCCAGAGCAGGGAGCAGAGCAGGCAGAAGGACCAAAGTACACTGCTGAGGGGAGCAGCGGGCGGCAGGAGAGGTCTGCGCGCCATGTGGGACCCTCCTCTGGTGGCCGGGGAGCAGCCGGGGATTGAACCGGCGCGGCAGAGGTCGTGGGCAGCTTCGCAACCCAGCGCTCAACCGCTGCGCCACCGGGGAAGCCCTATAAGATTAATTCTTAATACAGAAGGTAAAAAGGGCTAGCAGGGAGAGGAAAACAGGTTCATAAGTTCTATAAAGTTTTAAAGAACTTTAAAGAGCACTCGTTACAACTAGTGATTCTGATACACCACCCCATCTCTTTGGAAACAGAAAATTCTGGAAGTCTTGCCTACACAGCATGCATCACATACTTATTTTTACCCTACTGGGTACAATAACTTTCAGGCAATTTCTTCATACAGACATACTTCTTGTGTCTTACTGCTATCAACAACAGACATGTAATTGAGAGATTTGACGCTGAGGGAAAGTAACAGCAATTTTACCTTCCTTCTTGCTTCAATATTTAAGAACTAAAATAGAATCCCAGATTATTTAATATAATTCCTTATTTTACAGATGAAAAATATAGGGGGCTTAAAGGTCTTAATATTCTGACCCAAGGTGATAAATCTAAATATTCCAGTACTCTATGATGCCCATCCATGCACCTCTGCTTCCATACTATGATTATGTATATACATATACCTATGTGTATTTATATAAAATCTCCAGGAATTATTCCATAGATCATCTTAAAACTTAGGATCTAAGATGGTTTCAAATTTTATTTACCCTTCAAGACAAAAACAGCAGTAGTAGTAATATTTCTCCTCTACATTCTCCCTCCATAAACTTTTCAGCTTGATTGCCTGACAAAAATCAAACTCATTATATATCCTTCTTCAAATGTCTCCATGTACACTCAATGTTATGTTTTACTATAGTCCAGGTATCTAAGCTTGAATAGTCACCTCTGACTCCTCCCTATTCCTAGGGGAATAGCATGCATATCCATTTATGTGAACAGGACTGGTTTATCTCCATTTCAGAATAAAGAGTAATAATATCTCCAATTATTTCTGAAACCACCTCCATTAAGATGAAAAATTATATGGTCATACTTATTATAATCTGTACTTATAATGTATTTATAATCAGCTACAGATAATTTCTCCAACTGAACTCCTTTCCTTCAACTGTCTAAGTTCTCACCTGAAACAACAACAGCCTCCCTTCACCCAATTCCCATCTCCACGTGCCCTTTTGCACATGCTGCCCTTCTGCCTTGGAATACCCTTCTTTCTCTTTCCATTTTTTGACTACCAATCTGGGAACTCAGACCAAATCACTTCTCTGCTGGGAAGTCTTCCAGTCATTTTCTGTGCCTCCTGAAATAATAATTTTAATACTAATAAACATTTATTGAATGCTCATAATGCTGAGTAAAATTTTAAGTGTTTTTATCTCGTTAGGCCTTATAATAACTCTATACGATAGGTTTTTTTTCCATGTTAAAGCTAAGGACTGAGAGATTAAGTAATTCAACTGAAGTTACAAAATTAAGTGGTGGAACCGGGACTTGAAACCAAGTATGTCTGATTCTACACCTAAGCTTTAAACCTCTCCCCTGTACTGTCTCACCTGTGCCTCCATTAGTAGGTTTCAGGGATCCAAGACATTTGACTTTGTGCTACAACTCTGTCCCACTTGGTATCTCTCTCTGTACTTTCATAACTCTTTCTATATATTTCACAGGTGGACCAGTATATATTAACCCTTTGCACTCCGCTGTCCCCTCTCAGGGGACATTGGTAGCCAATGTCCAGAATGGTTCGGAGTGCAAAGGGTTAGTAAGTGTTCTCTGGCTCCTTAAGGAGACTGGGATGACTTCAATCATAGGGAAAGGCTATGCTATTTGCAGCACATGCAATTATGGCTAGCTCAAAGCAGGTATTCCATGTTCCAGATATAGCTCATGTTCCAGATCTAGCTCACATTCCAGATCTAGCTAGAATTAGGCCAAAGTTGCAAACTAGCGGCCTTTAAGCTAAACCTAATAGGTTATCTTTGACTGGCATAGGGCTAACAGAATTAGTTGCCAACATTTAAAACTTGCATATTATTTACCTAAGTAGAGAATTTTATTATAGCTTCCTTTGAAACACAGGGTCAACATCTTTATGTAATAGGACAATCGGGTAGTAAAGACGGTTTTCCCTTAACCAGGGACTGTTAACCTACTCAATGTGCACCACTCTATAAATTTCTAGAAAATGAAACCAAAGGCCAATAGTCATCATCATACTTGTGATGTTCTTTCCTTAAGAGAAAAATATTTCTAGTGCCTATATATATGTTAAAAAGCTATTTATTCTATGAATGTCGGGCATTTGGAAAGATAACAGATTGATAAGTGTCAATTAAAGGCAGATTACATAATTTAAAAAACTGCTTCATGACAATATTACACCTCAAAAAGAATTACCAACATTATAACTTTTGACTGATGGCCTTATCAGTTAAAAGAGTCACATTTAATGTGTTTTATGATTATGCAGATGCATATACTTGTAGTAGGTCCCTGATCTTTGGGGAAAAACAAAGAGCAAAAGGATTTCTGTGGCTAAGGATAGGGAGATAAGCAGAAGAGGGTGGAACTAAACTTGTTAAGATTAATGAAGAACAAACCATCCATTTAGGGAATTTAAATGCAAAAGATACATTGATACATGTTCAAGTTGAAAATTTAAACACAAATCAACAAAAGGTTGCCAACTATCTGACTTAGTAATAATAATGTGTCACTAACGTGGGAAAATACAGACCAAAAGTGAATTGCTAATCAACCAATTCCAAATTTTTGCTATAGCTTACCCCTACCTAAAGCATGTAAGTAGGTAATTTAAATGTGTAAATGTCCACTTCTAGAGAAGAGATTGAACACAGGAGCCCTTAATTAATCCAGACTTGGAACAACCCTGAGAAAATGAGAATGGTGTAAAGTTCAATAAAATCATTACTATCACCTTACAATTCACCTATCTAGATGGTCACATATTATACTTATCTAGATGATGGAAGATGAGATGAAATGTCAGTCAGAGACTATTAGCATTTTCAAATGTCAAACACATCATTAGAACAAAGGCCCAAATTTTACTCAAAATTCTCAGATTTTTAAGGTCTCTAAATACAGCCATCTATTTGTGTTCTCAATTTTTAAGAAGCTTTTAAAACCTATTCTAAAATCAAATCAGTATTACTTGTTTAGTAATACTGGGCTGTGAGGGATCCCTCACCATTCAACCACGAGAGTTCAAGAAGCAAGCAGTCCCCTACCCCTTAAAACTTTGGTTTTTATCAATTTTATATGCTGGGTCCTCTTGTTAAATATTTTGAATATTTGAAAATCACTCATTTCCTCTGTATCAAAATTTAAAGTGACTCGGGAATGAAATAAAAATGCTGTCAAATTTGGGGGAAACTACCCTCTATTCTAGTTTAACAAAATTCTAGCACCTCCCGAAATGTCTTGATCTCTAAAAACAAGAAAGTGAACTCTTAGGAAACCATGATAAACATAGTCTGTGCCAGGAATAAGAAGATACTTAACTGACAAAAATTACAAATAATTCTTTAAAAACAATACCCACCACGAAAGAAGATCATTTATGTAGTTCTAAAATGTAACAGATATACCAATAACACATCTAAATATGACCTTAATAAGACAGGCAATTGCATCAAGCAACACTGTTCAGTAAAAATGTTTAAATTCTCAACGTTAAATGTTTGCATTAACACAGTATGTAGCATTTAATTCCAACCATTCTCTATTGAAAATATGAAATACTCATTTAATGAGTAAGAACGCAGCTTGTTTTAGTATTATGAAATACAGTTTATTAGGAAAAATCTAGAAGTTATAACAATTAGTAAAGTGAAATAACATGTCTGTTTAAATATCCTTTAGATATTCGAGGCTATGAGACAACTGATGGAAATGGAAAGAACAGAAAGTGGCTACAGAAAAAAGAAGAGCTGAGTAATAATTAGTGAACAAATACACACCATCATCCATCATGGCTCACTCTATCTTACCTGAGGAGGAGTAGGTGTGGATGTGGGCCTCCCTATGGGTGGAGTAGGATTTCTGCTGCCACCTCCAGACATAATCTCCTCTGTTATATCTTTACCTCCCTGGTTTGGATCTCGAATTCTTATCTGTAAGATTAAATAAAACAAAACATTTACAGATGGGTGTCCATGCTCTAGATTTATAGGTATGTGAAGTATCAAAGGCGCAAACATGGGAAACCTGTCAAATATCAAAGGTGATAAGTTACATATCTGACCTTAATTCAATTACAGAATCATGGTGTAATTCAAAGAAATTTAGGCCATTAGCTCTGACCTGAACTAATTAGAGTAAGAAGCTAAAATGAGAACCAGCTGACTGAATTTCTAGGTCAAAAATGCAAAGTATTACTGATTTCTCTTGTAAACACTATCATATGCATGTTTTCATTTATAATGCTTAAGATAAGACTCAAAATAATTTTACATGGAAGTCACTCTGCAGAATAGTTTTAAAGGCCATAAAGTTTCTCCAATAAAATCTGTATGTCTATGACTCAAGAACAGGGATTTATGCTGCAGGTATCACCATCTCTGCATGTAGGGATGCTCAGTGTAGGAGTGGTTTTTTCCTAGCAGACACAGAAATATCCTTAAGGATGATCAAAAATATTGAACTGACTAAACTGTCAAACCACTAACAAGAGTGTAAAATAATGGTACTTCATAAGACTTTTAATGCCATTTGTTTTTACTGCTATGGAAACGTGTTTCCACTGCGCTGTTAAATAGTGCTTCTAATTAATTTGTTCTATTGATACTTCTGTCTTCAGATCTTTTATTACTATTTCCCACATTCATTATCTTCACGTTCTTGCATTCTTAGTGTTCTTCCAGTCCAGCTTCTACCATGTTTCAACATTTCTAAAGCATTGTTTCTCAACTGTGGTGTCATGACATACTGGCACATGCTGTTTATTATGATGTGTACACAAGTAATTTGCTTCTAATAATAAAGACCAAAGTTTGGAACTTCATTAATTTTTTATTAGAGTATTTCAGGAATATGGCTATAATGTCACCCCCACCTATCTCATCTGTGTGAATGATGCAGTCCTTTATAAACATATATTTAGTGTTTTCTGATGGATAAAAGATTGCAAGCCACTCTTCCATAAAATGTTCTGCAAGTGAATTTTATATTGCCACAATCTAATTCTCTTGGGGCTGGCTTGTTAAACAGAGCCAAAGTCCTTGTAAGTTACTGAAAACCATAAGAATAAATTCCAAAATTCTGATTTATATTTCTTAAATCTATCCCATAAGAATAAGTTTTCTTGTCCTTAAACTGTGTTCCTTTTCTTCTGTGCTAATTCTACCCCCACTCCCCCCCACCACCATTTCGTATCTGGATGTAGAGCTTACTAGCACTAAAGTTAAAAGACAGTTTGGATGTGAGAACTGAGTTCAATTTCTCCCACTGAATAAGTCCTTAGAAAAGCAAACCCTCCCAGTTCTCAAGGTGGAGGGCACATGTCATTTAGCATACCAATCTCAGTGCATGTTGAAAACTGGTATTAAGCAAATGATAATTCCAACTTCTAGCTATATGCCCACACCAATCATCCAGGTCCAGCGGTAAGGATATAAGGGACAAAAAAAAAAAAAATGGCAGTCATTTGTAAACTGAGATGAATAATTGTTACAGGTGTGGGCAAAATTATTTCACAAGTGAATGGACATTCAATTTTAAGTCAGAAATATTAAAGATCTCTTACTGTTTTTTTCTCTCTCTTGGCTGGAGGGGGCTGCTGCTGCGTAGGCACTATGATAGGTGCTGACTGATACACTGGCTGACTTGGGTAAAAAGGTGTTCCTAAAGAATAAGAATAAAAAGAAGCATTCAGTTATTTTGTCAATCACTCTAAGACTACTAATGTCAATGGGTATCTGGATAATTACTTGTCAAAAGCAAAAACCAAACAAAGCAAGCATTCTTCTTATTTGTTTTTTCTACTAGCTCCCCTCCAGCCACTCAAGTGGCCAAACACTTAAAAAATACCTCTTTATCATCTAATATAAGAACAACTACATAATCAACTCCTATGGAGTGCTACCAGAATTACCTTGCCCAAACTCTAATCATGCTAAAGCCCTGACTTTAAAAAAAACCTATTCTAGAGGGCCATTACTTGTAACAGCAATTCAAACCAGGGTTTATATGAGTATGCTTTGTGTGTGGCTTTGGTGAACAGCAGGGGCAAATATCTGATTATACCGGGGGCTAGGGATTGGCCTAATTCTCTTTATAACTGCCATAGAGAATGCCACCATCAAGGTTTGGCAGATATCCTACTGTTAGGACAGAAAAAAGACTGAGAACAAGCAGCCTAATTAAAAAGTTCAGATACTAACAATCGGGTTCCAGGTTCCAGTTACATTTTCTAGATTTCCAAATTCCCTATTTTTGCTCTTGCTACGACCTAAGTTATTACTAATCCTTTTGCATCTCCATCATCTTCAACATTGTTTACACCTTTATTTATATTGCCCTTTGCCTGAAAATGATCTTCTTCCACCCACCCTTTGTTACTGTCAACAAATGCTTTTTAACTTTCACACTTCACACTTTATTAATTCTATTACAATTAAATCAGAATGCTCAGAGTAGCAGTGGTAAGAATGGATCGATACTGGATTTTTTTTTAAAGATTTATTTATTTATTTTATTTATTTATACATGCACTGGGTACAGTCAGAAGTGTGGGAGGGTGAGAGAATTCACCAGAGCCCGAGCGGGGAGCAGAGCAGGCAGAAGGACCGAAGCACACTGCTGAGGGGAGCAGCGGGGTCAGGGCGGCAGGAGAGGTCTGCGCGCCATGTGGGACCCTCCTCCGGTGGCCAGGGAGCAGCCGGGGATCGAACTGGTGCTGCAGAGGCTGCGGGCAGCTTCGCAACCCAGCGCTCAACCGCTGCACCACCGGGGAGGCCCAGATACTGGATATTTTGAAAATACAACCTACAGATTTGTTGATGGATTGGATATGGGTGTGAGAAAAAGAGTAGTCAAGGAAAACTTAGGCATTTTGTCTGAGTAAGAAGTGGTGCCATTTATTTACTGAGATGAGGAATACAGTAAGAGGAACAGAGTTTAGGGCAGAAACTTAGGAGTTAAAAATTAGGAGAAAAATTAGGAATTAAATCTCAAGTTTGAGATTCTTATTTGATCTTCAAACAGATTAAGTAGGCAGAAGAGACACAAGCCAGGAGTCAGAGAACAGATGCCCACTTTTGGAATTAGTAGAACATGGACAACATTTAAATCATGAAACCAGATTAACCCAGAAAATGAATATACATAAAGAAGCCAAAGGAGTACTCAATTTTTGCTTAGAGGTCACAGATATAAAGAAAAGCAGCAAAGGAGACGAACAAGAAAACCAAGGCAGCAGTTGAAATGGAGAAAGTGGCTCATGAATGGAAAGTGGACTAAACTATGTCAAGTGGTGCTGAGAGAGCAACTAATAAGATTTAGCTAAGTAGAAGAAGCCACTGGTGACTTTGTCAAAAGTTGTTTTGTTGGAGGAGAGATGTGCATCCTGATTGGGATGGGTTCAATAACAAATAGATGAAAGAAAATTAAGATGGTGAGTATAGATAACTTGTTTTCTTAAGATTTTACCACAAATGGAAGCAGGAAAATGGACTTCAGGTGAACAAGAATCAGGAGCCCAAAAACCATTAAAAAAAAAAAAAAAAAGAAAAGAAAAAGACTGGAATTATTAACCAGTATACCTGAAAACACTGATAGGACTAATCTGGGGGATGGGGAAGAATAGGAATTTTTAAAGGAACATTTCCTGCAGATAAAAGAAAATTGCTAGAATAACTGCCATATGGTAGGATCTAATGCATAAGTGGAAGACTGGCCTTTGGTAGTAATAAAGACAATAAAGTCAAGGTAACAAGAAGGAAAGAATTGTGTATGAAGGTGGGTAATACACGTAAAATTCTTGATACTTTAGCAAGTCAAATAATGTTGACTCTACTACCATCATCATCATTAACATCCCCATCACCATAATCTTCAAGTGGTAATTTCTTGGAAGCAGTATGATATGCAGTAGCAGAATTCTGCAAATAACAATCAGGTTTGGAGAATCAGATTAGGAAAATATGTAAACAGGGGAAATGACTAGGATTTCAAGTTCAATGTAAAAAGACAAACAAACCTTAGTCATCCTCTAAGTAAATTATCTCAAAGCAGAGCGCAAGTAAGCAATTCTATAATATCCTATTATGTTACTAGTTCCAAAATTCAGAAAACAAACCCCTAAAATTGGTTTCAAATGCTGCTAGACCAGCAATACAATCTGTTCACCTTGCCACAACTTTTAAGCTAAAAGAAACTGGGTCCAAAAGGTGAACCATTCCTTTTAAAAAAAAAAAAAAAAAAAAATCAGGCTCTTGCCAATTAGACATTTGTAAGGAAACATGATTTAAGCAGAGAAAGATATGTAATACCCAACAATAAATATCTGCTGAATAAGCCTGGCAGAATAGAATAATCTATATACAGTGAGGTAAAACAGGATAGTAAAACTGTGCACCCCTGCAAAGCAGCCCTTCTGCTTTAGCAAATTGCAGTTTTCTTTTATTAGCTAATTTAACTTCTCACACTATTAGTCAGGAATATTTAAAGACATCTGTGCTATTAAAAATGTGAGTGACTTCTGTATACCATTTGTCTACTAGGCAAATGACTTAATTGTCTCTAGACCTCTTAAGCATTAAATGGAATAGGTTCATCTAGAATGGGGGTCTATAAACAAAAGCCTATGGGTCAAATCCATCATAATGCCATTTATTGTGTAAATGAAACTTTACTGGATGATACCCATATGCCATAGTTTTTAATTACATCTGGCTACTTTCCCACTATCATAGCAGAGTTGAACAGTTGCCCTTTGAAACATATTATCTGGCCCCTTACAGAAAATTTGTGAATCCCACTTCTAGAAAATTGGTTCCCAAGTCTAGTCTATAGAACAGATGAAAATGATAAATGGCAAAGTTTATACAATAACCAAAATACTCACAATCACATACACATGTGGATAAGCTTGCCAACTTGACATTTTTGTAAGGAACTGTTTCTATATTGAAATTATTTCAATCCTACTCTTCTGCTATTACAATAACCTTTCTATATGAAATGACACTGACAGTAAATAGCCATTTTCTTTTTTTAATAGCAAATTAAATATAACAATCCAGAGTGTCTCTTCCATTACTTTATACTTAATTTTACCTGCCCATGATACTAAAAACTCTGGGGAGCAGTGACCTGGTCATTATTTAGATATCTTCTCAACCTCAAGCACACATATTATATATACATATAAGACCCTGAAAGGCAGGAGGACTACCTTAACATCTACAAGCCACAAAATACCTTGACAGTATCTTACACATTGCACATCTTCTAAAATTGTTCAAAACCTTGAATTTTCCATAGAAACAATGTTAAATATGCAGGTCAGCACATAAACACCATATACCCAGAACAATAATAATGTCAGTATACAAACCAAGTCACCAAATATAGTATTACCTCTCCACAAAAAACACATTCAACTTGGGATCCCAGAAAGTTTCCCCAGCCATACAGACAACGGGAAACATATGACTCGACTGAGGTGCCCAAGCCCCAAAGAGATGAAGAGAGTGCAAAGAAGATGATGGGGAGGGAGAGGAGGAAATTACATGGCAGAATGAGTAAAATGGAGCATACACCAACTTGAAGCATGTTATTTTAGCATGTACTAAATTTTATAATTTTTTTCTATTCAATACTCTAAAAAACACCAACAGTAAATTTTATACTTAAAAATAATTTTAACTGGGTCTCCCTGGTGGCACAAGAGTCTCAGCACTATGAAGCAATCTGCAACCACTGCAGCATGAGCTGAATCCCCTGCCAGGGAGCTACCCACATGGCAGAACAGACCTCTTCTGTCTTACCCACTGTTTCCCTCAGCAGTGTATTTTAGTAGATCTACATGTTCTGCTCCCCACTCTCTTGGTTAATCCTCTCACCCCCTGCACCTCTGGCCTACCCAACTCTTGTATGCATAAATAAAATAAATCTTAAAAAAATAATAATTTGGGCCTCCCCTGGTGGCGCAGCGGTTGAGCACTGGGCTACAGAGGCTGCCCGCAGCCTCTGCAGCGCCGGTTCATTCCCGGGCCGCCGGCCAGGGCCCCACAAAATAAATAAATAAATGAATGAATGAATGAATGAATGAATTAAATAAAATAAAAAAATAATACTTTGACTGGATTTAAGTTTTCAGAATAAATACCAATACAAATAACAGAAAAGATTTCTCTCTAAAAGAGTAAAGCCAGACAACACGTGGTTGCTTTGCCTGTTTCCCCTCAAAATGTAAGAAAAACCTCTAGACTAGTCTAATATCAATTAATTCTACAATAAAGTTCTTGAGTCACTAAATCTATATCATTTCCCTCCCCCCCCTCACTCTTTTTTTTTAAAGATTTATTTATTTATTTATACAAGCACTGGGTAGTCAGAAGCGCGGGAGGGTGAGAGAATTCACCAGAGCCAGAGACGGGAGCAGAGCAGGCAGAGGGAGCGAAGTACACTGCTGAGGGGAGCAGCGGGCGGCAGGAGAGGTCTGCGCGCCATGTGGGACCCTCCTCCGGTGGCCAGGGAGCAGCCGGGTATTGAATCGGCACTGCAGAGGCTGCGGGCAGCTTCGCAACCCAGTGCTCAACCACTGCGCCACCAGGGAGCACCCCCCCCCCTTAACCTCAGAGGCCTCATGGTGTTTACTGATACTCACTGGTTTTTTAATTTTACTTTACAAATCGCCTTCTTTGTAAATATCCAGTATTAGCTGCTATTCTGACTTGCTTTACTGCAGTCTCTAACTCACTCCTCTGTTGAAAATGGCTGCATTTCATCTTTCCTTATGGTTGAATCATATTCCTTACCTGTATATTCATTTTCTTGATTTAATCACTTGGTAATGGGCATTTAGGCTGTTTCCATATCTCAGCTATTGTAAATAATACTGCCATGAACACAGTAGAACACAGGACTTTTTGCATTGATGGTTTCACATTCTTTATATAGATGCCCAAGAGTGGAATTGCTTCATAGTACTTTATTTCCATTTTTGTTTTTTTAAGGTAAATCTAGATTGTTTTCCACAATGGTTGTACCAGTTTACATTTCCACAAAAAAGGTAATTTTCTCCACATTCATTCCAGTGCTCACTGTTAGAGATCATTTTTAGTTTGTGCCGCTTTGATAGGTGTGACATGGTATTTTCATCATAGTTTTAACCTGAATCTCTTTTACTAAAATAGAAGAAGAATATTTTTTCAAGTCCATTGGTCTTCTGGATATCCTATTTAGTGAACTGTCTTTTCAGATCTGTTGCCTGTTTATTAACTGGTTTATTTTTTTATTGTTGAAATGTGAGCTTTTTTCTCTATCATGGATATTAATCCCTTATATACTGTGTGTGACAGAATGGAAGAAAATATTCTCCCATTCAATATGTTGTCTTTTTAATCTTTTATTTTACTTTGCTTTAATAAAAGTTTTTTAACTTGAGATAATCCCAATTATTTTTTTTTTTTAATTCCTATGCCATTGGGGTCAAGCAACTGAAAACATCCTTGATGTCAGGGAACGTAACAGCAGTGTTTTCCTCTTTCTTCTATGTATTTTATTGTTCCAGGTCATTACATCTAAATCTTTAATCCACCTGATGGTTTTCTGTGTATACTGAGCCAGTAATCCAACTTCATCCTTTTACGTGTAGCTTTCCACATAACATGTACTTTGGTAAACAGAAGACAGAACTCACGAAAGGGAGAAAGGGTCTATCTATGCAAGCAACAAAAATCCAGTGACAGTAATGAGCTGGTAACAGACATCAGAACTGGAGACATCAAGTTTTTACTTCGGAACTACCAGCTTCTTGAGAAGTTATCATTCCTATAATACTCTTTCATCAAAGGTATCATCCCTATAAAACTCTTTCTACTGTCTGAGAAGTAGATGTTTGCCATTGAGACAATGTGGATGGAAATGGAAGGGATTATGCTAAGTGATTAAGTGAGAAGGAGGAAGACAGGGATGACAAAACTAAACCAAATCTTAGAAACCTGACTGCAGAAATGAGGCTGTGAGAGGAAGAAGTAGGGGTGGGAACAAAGAGGGAAAGGGCTCGATGATATAAATATATGGTAAAGGGAACGGGGTGCTCTGGTGAGGGGAAGGTGTGGTGACACCTATCTGAGAAGGCGTGACCCTATCCCCCTGAATCACACACAGAGCTAGAAACCAACTATACCTGAAAAATACATACATAAGATAAAATAAAAGTAGATTTAAGGCCAGAACTATTTGCAACATTTTATTTTAAAGTCCTTCACACCACTAAACTACATTGCCCAAACTGACCTGACTAACAACAAAAGGGAATGAGTACAACAAACTAGCAGAAACCGCACAATTTTTCATACTTACCATAAGCATTAGGAAAGTCCCCAGGTCCTGGTCCAGGATAAAAAGGACCTGGGCCTGGTGGCTGAACTGGATACTGTTGTGGAGGCCCAACATAAGGAGGGCCACTATGACGGTACTAGAAGAGAAAAATTATAGATATTTATAAATAATATGAAGGTAGCTTACTAAGGAAAAATTTAAAGTTCTCTCTCTGTAGGTATAGAAAATCATTTAAATGAGGTGAAGCCACTTGGTTAAACACATTGCCATGCAATGTAATGAGGATGAAGAAAAAGATGTGACTTATATAAAGCCATATAGCAAATCAAAGCACATAAGCTGACATCAGCTTACTGTAAAATTATTTCAAAATGGTAGCTTCCAATGACGTTGAATGTCACAGAAACAGCACAATTACTAAGCCTATTTTAGAGCAACTGGTTGTGGGAGGGGATAAGGAAAAAACTGGAATAATTTCTCCATCATCTTAGAAAATTTTAAGAAAAGCGATGTAAGAGTATCTCCTTACAATATTATATATAATAACAAAATGACTAGAATTGCTACTGACGAAAAGGTTCATACAACACCAAAAGCAAATGTAATTACTACCCTTGCAGCTCCCTTTGCTAATAATCTGATTAATCCCCATTCTATTGCTGGACCACACAGATCTGAGAAATACTTTACCTGAGGTATACAGTACTGAGGACCCTGGGGCACTGGGTACGGCATGGGCAGATGGTTAACCATCATGATGTGCTGATTAGCCTGATACACTGCAGTGGGTGTCTGTGCACCAGGACGAATGGAAGGACTGCTGTTCGGGATGGTAGCTCTAGGAGGCTGTATTTGAGGCCTCTGGAAAAACTGAGGAGGGGAGAAAAATATATTTACTTTTTACAAAGAGAAATACATGTTTTACTACCTTAAGCTTTTTCCTTTTCCACTAATTAAAAATATTAAGTTGAACTAGAAACACAATACACAAGAAAGAAAACCAAATTGCTTGCGGCTGGACAAGTGATATTAAAAAACACTCCACACTAGGCATACTAGGTCAAGTTTTCATTGCTGTCACATTTTTAAAACAGCAAGGCAATCTAACTTAAAAGTAATTTTAAAATGTAAGGAAAAAATAAAAGGTATATAGGTGGTATCACTTTAAAAGCTGTTTTGTTATTAAAATGTATTTTTCATAGAGCATGTGGCTTGTTATCAACTTATTAAAAAATAAAAGTGGTCTGCTAAAAAACTATCACTAAGTCATTTATAAAATATTTAGGAGAATAAGAAATCTCTATGGACATAGAAACATTCATCTCAGTCTATTAGGGTCAAGTTAAATTAAAATTATCTATAGGGCTGTCACATGATGGGAAATGTCTTCATTTTCAAAATAAGTGGCAGTACCATACTAAAACTGAACCCAATTTAGCCTTTTTGAATAATGTGCAGTAAAGTGGAGAATCTAGACAGGTTTAAGAATGACCTGGAAGGAACAGCACTCAAATCTCTCAAATGACAACTAGTACCTGTGGTTATTTATGGTTATCACTGCAGGCTTGAGAGTCTTGAAACAATACTAACAGTAAATCCCCACCATGAATACATGTATTCATCAGTAAACAGTTTATTTCTCTGTAATAATAATAATAGGAGAAAGTAAAAAAGAAGCCATGCAGAACCAGTAGTTTGTTACCTGGATGGGTCTGAATCCTCCCTTCAATTATGAAGCAAGAAAGCAGCAGGAAACAGAAAGAAAGCCAATGGAAAAGCTTATAGATCAGTAGGAAGGGGTAGGACATAGCATGCAGCTCAGCAAAAAATATCTTTCTATTTGATAACAGGAGAAGAAAGAATATATGAAAATCAGGATGACAATTCTCTACTTGAGAATTCAAGGACATGTGGAACGAAAGAATCAAATTGTATTTAATTGAAAATAAGTAAATCCAGTGGGGAAAATATTCTAGGTGTAGTTACATGTTATTACTGTAGTTTTAAAACAAATGTTGTTTGGTGATGCAAGTGCAGTTGGGGACTATTGATTCCCACTCATGGCTCTAATTGGTGCCCATTATGTGATTTGACTTTAGTTATTCAGCTTCTCTATGAGCCACTTTCCATCCTGAATGGAGAAAAGTTAATAAAAGTGTCATGTTATTTTTAAGTTTGCAAAAATCCTAAGATATGTAACTAATCTTTAAAACATACATCACATTCTTCATGAAAAGATCTTTTCAACTAACCAGGCATGTAATAGACCACTTACAGCTTTCAAATGGGTAAATAATAGTTTAAAAACGTAGCTTAAAAATTTCCTGAGGGTCGGCTTACAATTTGAGACATAAGAGCTATTACCTGTCAAATAAAGTCAAAGTTGAGCTTTGACCTTGGGTAAATTAAGATCTTACCCTGTCCTACTCTTAAGCATTAAGCTATCCACTGGTGACGGAAAAAGTAACTTTTCCCCTAGTGCTGAACTGGGGGAATTGGAATCCAAAGCTCATAACCATTCAGTCTTCAGAACCCAGGCCAAAGAAAGTCCTCAAGCGATTAAGTCACAGAAAAGCAACAGACTAAAAGGTACAGCAGGAGAGTGGTGTTAATGGGGGGACCAGATGTGAAGGTCACACGGTATTAGATGGAGGCAAAGCTGATATACAGGAATTTGGGGTGGACCACAAAAACAGCAAAAGTCTTCTAGTTATCTCCACTGACAGTTTTGGTCACCAAGTCAGGATTTCTGTCAGCTGCAAACAGGAACACTGAGGTAGTAAACTTTCCATTTCTATTAATCACATAGCATAGAGAATCTATTCATCAATGCATGTGAGTTGTTAACACAATTCAGAACGAATCTAAGCATTAGCAACTGGGTTAATAAAGCAGAAGCTTGGCGCGACAGACCTCTCCTGCCGCACCCGCTGCTCTCCTCAGCAGTGTATTTCGTCAGTCTGCCTGTTCTGTTCCCCGCTCTGGTGAATTCTCTCACCCTCCAGCACTTCTGACTGTACCCAGTGCGTGTATAAATAAATAAATAAATCTTTTAAAATAAATAAATAGAGCAGAAGCTGCAAAATAGGCCTCATGGAGAAGAGACTCATCTGCTCAACTTGCTGGTGACTACTAGATGCTAGACACAGTGAATAAAAAATATTATTATTGTAAAATCCTTTTCTATCAACTCTAGAGGGCAGACAAGATAAGGAGAGCATCAAACAGATACAGATGATGATCCACTGTGGTTGTATTATCATCAAATTTTGTCAAAGTATTTACTGCCTAAAAAGACATGGTGTTATAGGGTGAGGGAGGAACTAATCCATTAGCATATGCAGAGCAAGAAAATTAGATATGGGCAAAGTTTTCCCACAATTTTAAGTTTACTATATGGGAACACTTTTCTTACCAATACATTCCATTTGCTCTGCTGGGATTTTTAAACAGCCCATCCAGAGTAACTGTGGTTATAGCTTATTCAAGGTTTCTAAATAGTGTCAGAATGTTGTCTTCAGTGGTTTTGAAAGAGAAACAAAACAAGCACTGCTAATGAAACTCCAAACATTAACATACGGCTGAGCCAGTGAAACACCAAATCTGTGGTTATGTGTGCATACAGAGATTTTTTTATAAACTAAGATTTCAGTTTTAAAGCTAAGTAGAAAAATGTACTCTTGTAACAAGGAAGAAGCTTTATAGAGCACTTACTAGCTACCAGTTACCACTCTAAACACTCTGATACATATTAATTTATCTTTTCGCAACAAACCTCTTAAGGCAGGCATGATTCTAAAAACCCATTAAATGTACAGGGAAATTGAGGGACAGGGAAACTAAACTAACTTACTGAACGTCTCCTATCTGTAATTTAAACAGTCAAATTCTAAGACTACTCTTGAGTGTTACACACTATTATGAAGTTGAATTTCACCGTATTTTCAAATAAGTAACATCAGTTAATAGAAATCTTTGCTTTTCAGATTCTGAAGAGATGTAGTGGGACTTGTACCCATTTACACTAATGGATGGCACATGCCTCAACCATAATTGACAATGGATTCCTGGTAAGAAAAACGTTTCATCATTTAACCTGACAAAACTCATATGTTTTTATCATTCAGGAAAATAAATTCTTGTGCCAATAAAACTTAAAGAAACTAAAACTTGTTCATAAGCTTTTATATCCTTGCCTGAACAGTTGACAAACCTACTTTTGCTCAGATTCACTGCACTGAGGACAGGTTACCTACTGTTTTATTCTCTCCTGTAAGACTACATACCACACACACACACACACTCATACACAAATAGATATTCTAATATCTACAACACCAGAAAAGATGTAATGGCTGGGAACACAAAGAAATAAAACAGGAGGGCCGCCCCAGTGGTGCAGCGGGTTGAGCACAGCGCTGTGAAGCTGGACCGTCCGCAGCCTCTATAGGTTCAATTCCCGGCCAGCCAGGGAGATACCCACATGGCGTGGCAGACCTCTCCTGTCGCTACTGCTGCTCCCCTCAGCAGGGCTTTCGGCCCGTCTGCCTGTTCTGCTCCCCACTCTTACCCTCCCACATCTCTGGCCTGTACCCTAGCTATTGTATAAATAAAAAATAAATCTTAAAAAAAAAAAGAAAGAAAAAGGAATTTTTTTTTTGTACACCCAACTAACCATTCAATTCCAAATGCAAAATGAAGATTTAATAATGGTACAAGAAATTAAGATTCCCAGGTGGTTGGGCATGGCAACAAACCACAGGTTATTTTAAAGAATGTGTCGATGGGCTTTCCCAAATTGCTTGTAATGCTTCTGAATTATTTTTCCTCTCCAGAGTGATCAAGAATTATTAAAAGAATCAGACTCTCCTGTACACAAGGACAATATAGACCATTTAGCCTAGTCATATACCTAAAGTCTGAATCGCTTCTATGACATGAGTGTGGGGTTACGGAACTTTGGCAACTTAAAACACAGTTCTGGGCCTCCCCTGGTGGCGCAGGCGGTTGAGCGCTGCGCTGCTTCGATCCCAGCCGGCTGGCAAGGGTCCCACATGGCGCAGCAGACCTCTCCTGTCTCGCCCACTGCCCAGTGTATTTCGTCAGTCTGCCTATTCTGTTCCCCGCTCTGTCTCTGTCTCTGGTGAATCCTCTCACCCTCCCACGCATCTGGTCCGTACCCCGGTTCTTGTATAAATAAATAAATAAATAAATCTTTAAAAAAACAAAAAACAAAAGTCTCCTTCCATTGCCTCCAATTTTTTTCTCTGTATCATGTACCCTCTAGTCCAAGGTCTATCCCTAAAATCACATCCAAGTCAAGTCCTTTTTCTCCATAAATAACCAACCTCTAAGTTATCTGAAGACTGACATCATTGACAACTTTCACTGCCTATTTTAGTTTTAAGCCAACCACCACCAGTACCCCACCCTCATCCTTCCAATCAAGATTGATCCTGGGCCTCACAATTTGCTCCCAATGTTCAAAGTCTCACTAAATAGAGAAACAAACATAAGAAACAGGTGGGGTGGGCTGCAGAATATACTGATACTCAATAAATATGTGAATGAAAGATAATGTATCTTTCCTATTCTGGTCAACCATGCTTCCATTAATGAAGCAAGAATCATCAAAGCTCTTTGGTCAACAACAATCTATTACTGATTAGTACTGAGTTATATTCCTCTAAAACCCTTGAATCTTCATATATAGCTGGTAATAAATCATACTCTTCATTCCTGTGTGCCTTCTTATGGTTGTGTTTTGATGCACATATAAGGAGTCTTATATTTAGTTTCTTTGAAAATTTATCTGGTTAATTTCAACCCATCATTTCAGATTGTACAGATTCTTTTGAATTCTGAATGTA